AGAGCTGAGGTCGGACAGCTGAGCCTATGAATGGAGCTAAAACGCCTTGTTTATCTCAGCACGTGGGCGCACACCAAGCCTGGAAGAGACGGGTGACCCACCCGAGCAGCCCACTCGCTCCTCACGGTCAGGCCAGCTGAAAAAGCACCGAGAAGACACAGCCGAGCAATGGGCGCGGATTCCCGTCAGCGGTTCTCTCTATGATGGGCAGACGAGTGGAAAAAGCAAGAAAGAAAACAACCTTGCTTGGCACCGCGCCCACACACACATCCCCGTGCAGTGGGGAAAAGAGGCCAGGGGCACATACCAGCCGCATTTCAGCCTTCTGGCCCAGGGAATGGGCAGAGCTGGCAGATGCTTAAACACAGGCCACCCTCTGTCCCGAAGGCGCCTTCCCGAACCCCTCCGCAAGCAGGACCCGGAGAGGACCTCTCCGCAGAGCTCCCTCGCCTTCCCGGCCAGCTCACCGCAGGAAGGTCAGCGGATGCTGACCACCACCACCAAGCAGCACCCCCCCCCCCCCGCCGCAGGCACGAGCCCACCTTTCTTGAACTCCTCCAGCATGGCATCGAGCTTGGTGTCATTGAAGACAAAGTGCAGCGGGTGATTGTAGAAGCGGGTGATGGTCTTGAGCGGAGTGCAGTCGTCTGGGTCCACAAAAGCCAGGTCCTTAACAAAGAGCAAGTCCACGATGTTGGAGCGGTCACCCTCGAAAACAGGGATGCGGGTATAACCGCTCTCCATGATCTCGGACATGGTGTTGAAGTCAAGCACAGCCTCGGCAGCGATCATGAAGCAGTCTCGGAGAGGCGTCATCACGTCCTCCACCGTCTTGGTGCGCAGCTCCAGGGCTCCTTGGATAATGTTGAGCTCCTCCTTGACGAGATCGTTATAAGGGTCGGTGACCCGCAGCATCTCCAACAGCTTCTCACGGTTATAGACCGTGCCAATCTCCTGGCCCAGGACACAGTCCAGCAACTTGCTGACAGGGTAGGAAGCCGGGAAGGTCATCATCATGAAAAACTTGGTGAGGAAGATGGTGTTGGCGCCCACGGCCAGGCCGTGCCGAGAGCAAATGGCCTGCGGCACGATCTCACCGAAGATGACGATACCGATGGTGGAGACCACCACGGCCACCAGCCCGGAGCCAGCTATGTCATCCAGCAGGATGGTGAGCGTGGTGTTGACCAGGACGTTGCCCAGCAGGAGGGAGCAGAGCAGGTAGTTGCCCTGGCGCCGCACGGGCTCGATGCGCTTGGCGTAGTTCTTCTCCTTGTCCGTGCCGCAGTTCTGCACGATGCGCAGCTCCATGGGGTCCAGGGCCATGAGGCCCAGGTTGAGGCCGCTGAACATGCCCGAGAGGCAGAGGAGCAGCGAGATGAAGATGACCTGCAGCCAGAAGGGCAGCAGAAACTTCTTCTCCTCGCCCACGATCATCTTGGTGTCCTCACCGTCGTGGTAGATCCAGGTGGTCTCACCCCAGGGCGGGGGCCCGGCCGGCCCCTCGGCGCCCGCCAGCCC